CGGTGGCCTTGGGGGGACCAGAAGCACTCGCCCCCGCGCCGTCAACTCCATTCCCCCTCGTCACCCCCATCCGGTTGCTGCCCAGGCTGGGCCCTCCCCCACCACAGCCGGGACTGCAGCTGTCCTGGGGCAGGCGGCAGGAGGCAGGGTGGAGGGTTGGGGGTGGGGAGAGGGCCTGGTTATGGTGGGCCAGGGACTGAGCACCCACCCCCACCTCCTTGGTGGCCTCACCGTGTGTCATCCTTCCATGGAGCGGAAAGACGAGGGTCGCCACCCACAAGTAGCTAAAAGTGGAGGGTGTGGAGGTGGGGACAGTGAGGGGCTCTCACTAGATGGGGCTTTGCCCGTCCTTCCTCCCACAGAGGGGACAAGGGCGTTACAGCCTCCACTCGGGATGGGTAGGTGGCGGTTTTTCCTCCCGCAGGGCTAAACAGCTTCATCTTTATATTTAGAGGATGATGCCTGCCAGGGCCAGGCTGCTCCCCAGTGCACCTTGGAGAGCCACCACCTCCGAGCCTGCTGCAGGGTCTATTTATACCACTGACATATGGGGATATGCCTTTCACATCTTCTAGGATTTGGATCCACTTATGGTAAGGTGCGGTGGGGTCAGGGGAGCTGATCCAGTTGCTGCCTGTCTCAAATATTTTGGAGGAGGGACAAGCATAGTTCCAACCTTGCTGTGGACAGCCCAAGAGTGAGCTCAGTGACGTGCTTTAAGGGGTACGTCAGCAACGCAGTGCGAGCCGCAAAGGAATCTCCCATTTTCTGATGTGCCTGAGTGTTCCCCAAATAGTGGCAGTTCACATTTGGTGGTGGCACTCGGCAGCAGTCGTGGGTGCAGAAGCACATGCAACCCTCCTGGGTAGCCCATCCCAGCGGCTCTCCCTGAAAATGATCAGTCAATTACAACATAAGGAGCCTGGCTGGGATGGGGTGACGCAGGGTATAGAGCGTCAGTCTCAACCTCCTGTGGTTTCACATGTAGCTGTCCCAACTTTGGACAATGA